CAAGCTGTTTCATGTGCCTGCTTTTATGTTTTGTAACATTTTTACGTAATATTTATTAGAAATTAAAGCTAGTTGCCTACAACCTGCTGCTTTCCTCCTCTTTCCACCACCCGCTTTCCTCCCTGTCAAGTCTATAGAAAAATTACATGAACACTGCATATGTTCCCCACATTTCTGTAGCCTGGAAACATCACTTTGAAACCTCAACACCATGTGTGCTTCAGAGGGAACAGACACTCAAGGGGAATTCCCTTGCCACTTGTGGTGGAGAGAGAGGCACAAAATGGATCTGAAATGGCTCTTCTCTTCCTGAAAATAACAAGGTCGGGCTGCCTCAGCTTGTCTTAACACCATTCTCCCTCCCTTCTTTATTATCTGTCATTTGCCTAGCTTAATGAATAATTTTTAACTTGTCAACCAGATGTTGTATACAGTGAGACAACCTCAGGCCATAATTGCATCCTGAAAGTTAAGTCCACCTTTCTCTTGGCGGTTTGTATCAGGCTATAAATCACGGCCCATCCGTGAAGATCCGCTCCTACACACTGATGTGGAAACTAACGCTGCATCGCCACCTGCTGCACAATAAGAAGACGCCTTAGTAAAGATGAAAGGTACAAAAAGCAAATCTAGGGTGTTGTCCCAAGCGACTCTCTTCTGTCCTTCATCTTGAGCCGGTGCTGGCAAGTAGGATGAAACTACATTTAACTGGTTTTAACCCCTACCAGTTCCACATCTTGGCTTAACACAATATAATCTAGATGGGGTTGCATTAAAAAAAATGCAATGATATGTCAGCCCTGTCCACCTTTTGGAATTCCCTCACACTTCATTTCTAGTAATTGCAATGTGATGATAAGGTCAAGTTTGGAGTACTTGCTCTATAATATAAACAAGCTCCTAGTTGCTTTCCTCCAGTTAAACGTTAACTGGAAGAACAGAACCTGGAGGCTTGCTTATGCAAAGCAAGTGTATAATCTCAGATAGCAGCATGTGAAGGTCTCTTTGCTTCAGATCCTGAAGAACTGCTACTTCTCAGAGTTGACAATACTGGGATCAATGGCTTACTCAGTATCTGGCAGCTTCTTAGGCTCATGTGCTCTCACAACCTTGATCACACATACAAAAGTGGTGTGTCCTATCTGTTCACTTGCCTTCTTTATATTGTTGTCCCACTTTTCAGATAAAAACAATAAGTCTCTCAAAGCAGATCAGAGCATCAACTAAAAATTCTGTACATTGCTGGGGTCTACATACAGCGGTCAAAGTTAGTTTGGAGCCTCCAAGTTCATTAAATATTATTTCCTTCAGCGAGCTCCATCCACAAGGGGGCAATATTTTACCATAAGGAACTGTCTAGTTTAGCAAGATAAAACAGCAGACCACCTTTGTGTTGATTTGGACTGAACTTTTGTAATATTACCCCCCCCACACAAAATCGTATCTTTCTAAACATTACCAACACGACACACTGGACACCGGTAAGTTGGCTGAACACCGCTTTCCAGAGCACATAATGGCCTTACCACAATCCAGTTTAGGGGCAGATCTAGATAGTGAACTTTAAACAGCAGTGTTGCTGTGTATGTGCCAAGGTGATCAGACCCAGGACACAGATCTTTTTATTTTTTACATGGGGAATGCAAAGATACCAGGATGAGCACAACCTGGGGTCTTCCTTTGCAAGAGACTATAAGGACATATAACCAGACCATAAATGAAGGTTCAAAGCTTTATTTGTTAACCATATTTACACAGCTTAGGACCTTTTTCTCCCTTGTAAAGAAAAAGTCATGGAAGAGGGGAATAGAGATTGGAGTGAAGGAATTTCCCTGCCTAGCACACTAACCCTAAATTCATATCTACAGAGGGTGAAATACTTTCTCATGCACACACATGCCAAAGACATGGGCTATGGATTCTGTAACAAGCAAAAATAGGGAAAAGGTGAGGCCTACAGAAGTGTGTTGCCTCTTTAGATTTCTGTTTTTTAAGTCTTCTTTGAATTCCCATACATTTTCCAATTGGCTTCTGCCAATCCACATTCTCGGAGTTGGTCTTCGTGGTTCTGCTGTGTGTTCTCTGCTCCTTATTGCCTTATCTGAGTTGGTATTGTGAGGGAACTGTTTTTATAGTCAAATGTCCCACTGAATCAAAGCTCTTTCCCAAAGTATCCATAATGCTAATTGACTTATGAAAACAGCATCCATTTCTCTCCTGAGATCCAGGTTTGAATTTTCTCAATATGGTTATCTCCACATGCATGGGCACATCCTATTTTCAGAGTCTGCAGCAAAGTCCAGATGGATGACACCACAAATATCACCAACGTCTTTGCTTCTTGGCCCCCTGTAGACAAACAGCCCCACCCACCTAACTGTTCTGTTCTTGTTGCTATGCAGTCACTAAGGGTAATAAAAGTTGATGCATTCTGATCTACAAAGCTCACAAGTTTTAAATCCAAATGAGTTCAATGCAAATTTACTTATTTTGTAAAAGGATATAATAGAATACAGAGGTATGATACATGTTTTTAAAGGATTTTATGTGGACATACCTTAAGGATAAATGTCTCTAATAAACTTAGCTTCCTAGATTGCCAAATACACAACTTGGCCCTAGTGCTTCTGTTTAACAGGGTTGCCAGCTTACTAAAACCATGTGTAAAAATGCATTTTAATCACAGCAGCCTGAGAATCATAACCTATATGGGTTGAGCTAGTCAGGTACTGACTAGAGGGACTATAGAGCCTCACTCACTGGCAGTAAAATTCTTACCTAACTCCTGTCCTTCTGGTTCCTCTGCAGCCATGTGGGTAATAAGATTTAATCTATAAAAATAAATAGGAGATCCTCTGGATGCTTTATTCTGGGCCCAGTATCAAATCCCATTCTTGCACCGAATTGCAGAATATATGGATCCCTACATAAGGATTGCCATAGCAACCATTTTTTCTTGCTCTTTAAAAAAACCCCAGACAGCAGATATAGCAAATGTAGCAGAGTTTCCTCCCATTACAAGAGACTGAAAAACTCTGTTTTGTCAGATGTTGAGTGATGGGGGTGGGCGGAACAGACTCATTCAGTTCTATAAGGCTAATTTTAAAATGTCCAATTCCTCACTCAAACCTGACTGAATTTAATGGTTGTTCCTTGCATACATTTCAAAGGTGGAATTTCGGTGGTTTCCTTAAAAAAAAAAAAAAAAAAAAGCGCAACCCTATCCTTGCAGCAAAAACAGAAATAGAAGCCTGTTTTGCATTTGGATGAAGAGAATTTGGGCACAGATCAGTGACAACACTGGGAACATCTACACATAAAGCTAAACTGTGGTTGGGAGTAAAGCTCACAGCAAGTAGGGCTGAAGCACACACAGAGAGGCACATATTCTCTCTCTCTCTCTCTCTCTCTCTCTCTCTTTCTCTTTCTCTTTCTCTCTCCTTCACACATACCCAGTAGAGAGCGACAACACAATTGTCAAGAGATAAAGCTTGTTTATAGAAATGCGTTGATGAGGACTGTGCTTTAAATTCAGCTCTGAGTTTGGGGAGCGTTGAAATGCAGGGTTTGGTTTAATTTCACTGCTGCTTTGCAAATGAAATGGAAACAATCCACTAGCTTTGATGCTGCTTGGAGATGTGAGGAACCAAGTTCAAATCTCAGCTATTGTTCTCTTGCAGCGCAAGATTTGGGGATGGGCGTATGTGGGGGTGAGTGTTTTTTTACCATTAAAAAAAAGCTGTTTACATTTTAAAAGAATATGAAACCAAACAGCCATTACCTTCCCTGCCTATAGTTCATTCTAGTTCAGTTATGGGATTCTTTGGAGGAAGTCATGTGCTTTAAATGTGTGCGAAAGCACTTTAAATGTATCCCCTGTGATTTTCATAATGATTGGCCCCATGTTGTTATCAAGCTTCGTTCTAAGTTTAATAGCATGTCGGGTGGGGGTGGATTTTCCTCATAATTGTTGGGGGGAGGTATAAAATTTTCCTCTCCCCGCAGTTGCCAAATCAATGCAAAGATGCAAACACCAGCTTTGTTCTCTCTCTCCCCCCCCATAAATACATAATATGGAACAATTCCCTATTACTGTACAGTCTGTTTGTTTTTCCATCTCAGACCACTAGCTGCACTGTACAAGTTTATTTATATGTAAGACCACTGAATTCAAGCCACTAGCAGCACAGTCTACTCATTGAGTTCAATAGGCATATTCCTAAATAAATGGGAATAGGGTTGTAACTTAGAGGTCATCCACACCTCTGTTTGCCCCAGTGCTTTCTCTCGGGAAAACCCTGGCAATCAGATTTTCTGCAGATTGCCATTTGTTCCAATTCAGCACTAAAGAGCAGTTTTTTCCTGGGGGAAAGCGGTGGGGCAAAACCACTCAGACCCATGCTTTCTAGGCACAGGACAAGAGAAAGTGTGGACAAGCCCTCAAGCTTGATTTTCTTTTGCAGCAATTGTATTAGAATATGAATCTTAACTGTGCTGCCACATAATGCAATTCAGCATTAGCCAGTATTCCTGTATTCCATTATTCCTCTATTTTACATTGGCCTGTTGGTGTTTTTATGCCTAAATAAACTTGAGAAATTGTTTCTGCCACTTTCTTAATGGTTGTCCTACAACATATAGCAGCAGTAGCTGCAACAAATGGAAAAATCTAGGAATTCATGTAATTTTAACAGAGGCTATGCAGAAAAACCACAAAAGGTTCAATTTAGTCCAATCCAATATTAATTTTCTTTGTCTATTTGAATTTAATTTCTTTTGTTAATATGCATTCTTAATTTTTTATTCTATCATCGATAGGCATGTTTTTTTACAAAAAAACTTTCATAAAAATTAAAAATAATAATTAGAAAGACCTGCTTGATCAAGAAGAATGTGTGACCCAATTGACCGAGTTAACTGCAACTCTTGACATTTTTTTACTGGAAACCAAATAACTATTGATTTGCTAAGGGTGGGTTTTCCAGTTTATCAATCCCTAGGATAGCTCAGATGCTAGAGCATGAGACTCTTAATCTCAGGGTCATGGGTTCAAGTCCCAGGTAGCACAAAAAGTTTCCTGCGTGGCAGGAGGTTGGACTAGAAGACTTTCATAGACCCTTTTGCTATCTATGCTAGCAAAAGCACAAACTATGCCCTTTAGTAGAAGTTAAGATTCAAGTCTGGTACATCTTAACTGCAGACACCAGATGGTGGTGTTGCTTCTTCTACAATCCTACATGTCTTTATTCAGAAGTTAGTCCCCTTAGGTAATGATGGAGGAGAATTTTGTTTAGTCTGCAATATAAAGTAAGCTTACCTAATGACAGCAGCCACGAAATTAAAAGACGCCTGCTTCTTGGGAGAAAAGCAATGACAAACCTAGACAGCATCTTAAAAAGCAGAGACATCACCTTGCCAACAAAGGTCCGTATAGTTAAAGCTATGGTTTTCCCAGTAGTGATGTACGTAAGTGAGAGCTGGACCATAAAAAAGGCTGATCGCCGAAGAATGGATGATTTTGAATTATGGTGCTGGAGGAGACTCTTGAGAGTCCCATGGACTGCAAGAAGATCAAACCTATCCATTCTAAAGGAAATCAGCCCTGAATGCTCACTGGAAGGACAGATCATGAAGCTGAGGCTCCAAGACTTTGGCCACCTCATGAGAAGAGAAGACTCCCTGGAAAAGAACCTGATGTTGGGAAAGATGGAGGGCACAAGGAGAAGGGGACGACAGAGGACGAGATGGTTGGACAGTGTTCTCGAAGCTACCAGCATGAGTTTGACTAAACTGCGGGAGGCAGTGGAAGACAGAAGTGCCTGGTGTGCTCTGGTCCATGGGGTCAAGAAGAGTCAGACACGACTAAATGACTAAACAACAATACCTAATTCTTACCTCTCCAACTAACACATGAATCAGAACGTTGGTGCGCCTACATAGCCCTGACCTCCATCATTCCCATCCCCTGCACTATCCTGGTAAGCTGAAAGAAACATGGTATGACTGGAGGACCAGATTGGCAGCAGTTCCCCCTGTGCTGGCCACTCCTGAATCTAATCTCTTTAAAACTCTTATTCCCACCAGCACCCTCCTTGTTTGCTTCTCCCATTCCTCTTATTCCAGAGCAGAATTTGTGACAGTGATCATTCTGGCTGATGAGCACTGAAATGGCTCATGATGTAGAGAGCCTTAGTCACAACTTGCTGGACCTTGGTACTGAAAGGACGGAAGAGTCAATGCTTATTCTGGCTTAGGCATTGCTCCAGTTTAGCGTGATTAACCCTGAATAATTTGCATCCTTGTTAAATGACCCAGAGTGCTTCTGAGCAGGGAGGAAGCATCCTGATGGTGTGACCTCAGTGACCTCACCTCTTCCAGTCTCTTGGGTCAGAGAAAACACTGCTGTGGTATAGTAGAAATTGTTGGCCCGTTGGCCGTTCCTCTGACTGAAGTCTCATTAGTCCCCTAGTTTTCTCTGTTGCAGTCATCAGAGTAAATTAATATCACTGCCTCTGACAGGGACGGGCATTCTGGCTTTCAAAAGCTTTCAAGCTTCAAAGGAAGTTTTCGGCCTTTCTGGGTTGGGCTTACTCTATGTTGTTTTTCAAGCAAGTGTATTTTTATTTTTAAAATATTTTTAAAATATTTTAAAATAAGAGACATTTGTGGTCATATAACCATACAGTGGTACCTCTGGTTACGAACTCAATTCGTTCTGGAGGTCCGTTCTTAACCTGAAACTGTTCTTAACCTGAGGTACCACTTTAGCTAATGGGGCCTTCTGCTGCCACCGCGCCGCCAGCGTGCGATTTCTGTTCTCCTCCTGAGGTAAAAGTTCTTAGCCTGAGGTACTACTTCCGGATTAGCGGAGTTTGTAACCTGAGGTGTTTGTAACCCGAGGGACCACTGTAGTTAACATTTTAATTTATGCTGCATGTCCCTGTAGTCAGTTCTACACTATTTCTTCTCCGGGTCTAAACAGTTGCAGTCTGCTGCAACTGTTTGCAATTGAAATAGGATTGCTTTTGACAATGTATCAGCTCAGCAATGGAAAAGTCCCATGCTAAGCATTTGCTTAGTGGTGCAAGAAGGCTTCGGATTTTGCTGCTACCGTGCAAACAGATTGCTTTGAAATATCATTCCACTCCTAGTGTTCAGATGGGGCACAGAGACAAAAAGCTTGCCATTTGCCCAAAGCCATACAGACAATAGAGGCTGGTCCAGTGGTGGAGGAAGCCGTTCGGGCACCTGGGGCGGCACGCCCAGGGACAGGGCAAACCGCCAATAGGGGCAGGGTGCAGCGTGGGGCCTCCGGAGCCTGCCTACCTTTTCCCACTCAGCCACCCTACAGCTGGGGGGAGATAGCGGGCAGACCGTTTGGGGTAGCGCGGAGGCTGCGGGCGCCCAAGCCATCGCGTCTCTCCCAGGAGAAACGTGTGGCTTGGGCGCGCTGCAGGCCCCGCGGTGAGTGCTGCCCAGCATTTTGTCACCCCCCTCAGTGGTGACACCCGGGGCAGACCGCACCCACTGCACCCCCTTCCTCCGCCCCTGGGCTGGTCCATTTGGACAAAGAGGGCACTGCCACACCAACCTCAGTCAGCGCCAGCCATCCGCCCCCCTCTTATTTACAACTAGTCAGGGGTAGCTCTGCCTGCTATGGGCTCTGACTCCACCTACTGGGACCTTCTGATCGTTTATCCTTTACCTTATCACCGAAATCCTCAAGTGGAGCACCTGACTTCTGGTGGTCCCCATGCCCCTGAGGTTCAATTGGCCTTTACTATGGGACCAAGCAGTCCCTGCCCTGTGGAACTCATTTCCAGTACAGGTTTGGCAGCAACCATCCCTCCCTTATTTCAAACATCTTCTGAGATCTATACAGCTTGGACAGGCCTTTGTGATGTGAACTTTCTCTTTCCAACCAACCTGTAAATACTGATGCTTTATAGAGGCTTTAAATGATGTTTTTGTAGATGCCTTTGTCTGATTTCATTTTTATATGTTGTATACCACCTTGATGTTTCCCCCCCAATGAAAGTGTGGATTATAAATATGCAAATAAATAAATATCATTGTGCTCCCTTCACCCCCCCCCCGGCTACTGCCTATCATTCCCAATGGTCACCAGTCATCACTAAGTTTGATGGCTCCTTTACAGTCAGGGCATTCCTCATAGAGGTGGGTTCTGCAAGTCCTTCTGCTGGACTGAATTGGTTAGGAGTCATGGAATACAGAAAACAACCCTGTGTGGTGCAATTTTCTTGGAAGAGCAAATGAGGATCTTTTTGCTAGGGATTTCAGCTGTGAGTCTTGGTAGATAGGTACTGCCTTGTCTAGGGATTCTTGGGAGAGATACAGGATTCCAGTGTTACAGTGACACCAAGGGCTGTGTACATCCAACATTAAATGTTAAAGCACTTTAAAATAGACAAGGCCTTCTAAAGAGAGGGGAAACATTGGAAAGGCCATTACTTTAAAATATACTCTGCCCCCCTCTTCTTGGTTCTACCTCACTTTGTATGTAATATTTGAAGCAACACATCAAAACAATCATTGGGCTTTCCCTGGTGTTACAGCAGCCTCTGTTTCCTTGAAAGCCTCAGAGCCTATCCTTTCTCCTGTGTATCATTTCATATTTAGTTCACCATATCAATTCTGCCTCTCTGCATAATAGTTCTTAAGGATGTGCATAATTTGTTGAATCCAGAGACTTGCTGAGAGATAAACGTAAGTCTGTAATCCTGTTAATTAACTTGGTGCTGTTCATTAATTTTGCAAAGAGAGGCAGGATATTGTTTTCACACCAACTCATCTGCTGATCTGCAAGCTTGGGCATCTCAAATCTACCTCCTCTTCACCACCTTTCAGTAAAATCTCTGTTCCTCTTGTACCTCTCATTCTTGCACATTCTGGTAGGTACTTTTCAGCTGTGGGCACTGTTGCTAGCAAGCAATGCTATTTTATTTGATTGTTCCAAATTACACAGAAGAAAAATAAGCTGGTACTTAGCTTGACAAATGCAGTTCTGCTCATGGTTCATCAAAGCCATATGTTCCTAAATTTGTATTGCAGGATTAAATGCATCTTTAATTACCCGAAAATAGAAGTGAATTGCATCAACAGAGCTAATGAAAAAAGAATATCTGAGGGCACAGAGTGACATAACAGGTAGGTTCTGTTCTTCTGGCTTTGTTGGACTAAAGGTGAACAGAGGCTTTAGTAGTGCTTGCTTGTATATCTGTCTCACCTAGCAGGTAGCTGTAAATCTCCCCATTGCTGCCTCACCTCCTTGTGGCAGGTCATGAGATGTTCTGGCAAGGGAATCTGATAGTCAGCGTGGGCAGATCAGAATGGCTGAACAAGGTGTGTGTCCCAAAATGCGGCATCACCCCAAAAAGTTCTTGTACTCTGAAGCTACTATGCAAAACCAAAACTAATTCCTTCAGACATCTTGTGAAGGCTGTATTCTTGCTCAAGGTTTTCCTGATCCATAAAATTTTGGTTTTTGAGTCTTCTAGATTTCTGTTTTATTGGCTCATAAGTGTTTTTATACTGCCATTTTATTGGGTCTAGGTTGTTTATAACACATTTTAACATTATAATTGACCTGTGTAGTCCTTGGCCTGCTCTATCTCAGGCTTCAATGGTATTATGTTGGTCAGCATCTCATCTTTGACTGAGAGCTGCAGGATCAGACCCCTTTAGCTTATGCCTATTAGTTCCCGTTGCTCGGTCCCTGCTCCTGTCAACCTAGCAGTTCGAAAGCACGTCAAAGTGCAAGTAGATAAATAGGTACTGCTCCAGTGGAAAGGTAAACGGCGTTTCCGTGCGCTGCTCTGGTTCACCAGAAGCAGCTTAGTCATGCTGACCACATGACCCGGAAGCTGTACGCAAGCTCCCTCAGCCAATAAAGCGAGATGAGCGCCGCAACCCCAGAGTCGGTCATGACTGGACCTAATGGTCAGGTGTCCCTTTACCTTTACCTTTATTAGCTTGGGACGCGGGTGGCGCAAGGGACACAGGTGGTGCTGTGGGTTAAACCACAGAGCCTAGGACTTGCCAGTCA